CTTGAGTCGAGGCTCCAAAGATTTGTTCCTTTTTCAAAAATTAAGTCCCATTTTCTCCTGTGTTGGGACACACGAACCCTTCTTCCCTACTCGAAACTTCGTAGACTTCTTCGAGGTTTTCAGGTTTATTTTAGACTTAATGGGTCCCACCATCCATCTCCTCATTAAGCCATAATCCTGGAGAGTCAAAGGTGAAAAAAAGTGGAATTAAACCCATGGAAATATTATCGATTCTCGATAGTATTTCCCATGGAAATATTATCGATTCTCGATAGTATTTCCCATGGAAATATTATCGATTCTCGATAGTATTTCCCATGGAAATATTATCGATTCTCGATAGTATTTCCCATGGAAATATTATCGATTCTCGATAGTATTTCCCATGGAAATATTATCGATTCTCGATAGTATTTCCCATGGAAATATTATCGATTCTCGATAGTATTTCCCATGGAAATATTATCGATTCTCGATAGTATTTCCCATGGAAATATTATCGATTATCGATAGTATTTCCCATGGAAATATTATCGATTCTCTATAGTATTTCCCATGGAAATATTATCGATTATCGATAGTATTTCTATGGAAATATTATCGATTCTCGATAATATTTCCCATGGAAATATTATCGATTATCGATAGTATTTCTATGGAAATATTATCGATTCTCGATAATATTTCCCATGGAAATATTATCTATTCTCGATAGTACTTCTCATGGAAATACTATCGATAATCGATAATATTTCCTATGGAAATACTATCGATAATCGATAATATTTCCTATGGAAATACTATCGATAATCGATAATATTTCCTATGGAAATACTATCGATAATCGATAATATTTCCTATGGAAATACTATCGATAATCGATAATATTTCCTATGGAAATACTATCGATAATCGATAATATTTCCTATGGAAATACTATCGATAATCGATAATATTTCCTATGGAAATACTATCGATAATCGATAATATTTCCTATGGAAATACTATCGATAATCGATAATATTTCCTATGGAAATACTATCGATAATCGATAATATTTCCTATGGAAATACTATCGATAATCGATAATATTTCCTATGGAAATACTATCGATAATCGATAATATTTCCTATGGAAATACTATCGATAATCGATAATATTTCCTATGGAAATACTATCGATAATCGATAATATTTCCTATGGAAATACTATCGATAATTTTTCCATAAGAAATTTCTTGATTACATCAACTTTCAATGATCTGAATGTCCTTTAAATCCCCCCCCCCCTTATTTTCATGCATCCTTTTTCTTCCTTGTCTAATTTCCAAATGAATGAAATGAAAGTGCCAACCAGCCAGCTGAGGTAATTTGGTAAGACTAACTTTTCTTCTCTCATTTCCTCCCCCCTTTCAAGTCTATGCATCATAAATCACAAAACCAAAGTAGAACAGATGATTTCACATTCCCTTTGTCATAACATCAGGTTATGGTTTTGTGGCAGGCGAGGAGGATGGGGTTCATAGCAAACTTTTATTTTAGAAAACAACAATAATAACACGTTGTAACAACTGGGACAGCTATATAAAAGTGTTTTCTTTAAAAAACAAGAAACATGCAACTACGAAATATTTGTTTAAAGGGTCCATTGGCTGGGACACCCATCTTAACTTTACTGGACATGAACTCCCATGAATATTTCGAATGCTTTGTTATTCTTTTTCTTTGTCATCCTCCTTTGGCTATTTTCTAACAACAGAAAACCGAGAAGGAAAGAAAATGGGAGGAAAAAGTTTACAGTTTCTTATGTTTCCGCCTTTGTTCGGAACTTCTTTCTGTGCTTTGCGTTTTGCCAAATGGCATCAGAATTCATTCTCTTGTCGATGAAGTCCTTTGTGACTTTTGGCACCATGGAATTGGACATTTTTAAACAAATTGTGTTATGATTGTTGTGAATGGAAATTTAAATAAGGGGCAGAGGGGTAGAGGCAAAGGGGGGTGAAAAGAACGAAAAACCTTAAATATTTTTGTGAAGACATAAGAGTAGGAGATTTCAGATATCTGTGCCACTTAAAAGAGGGGGAAGAAGTAGTTTGGAATTTTTTTCATCCACGCCCCTGCGTAACAGCCTAGATGTGTTATTCTTAGATTTGTTCTTTGGAAACTGAAATGAAATTTCAAATTGGACCATAAACGAAATGGTCACTAAAACTTTCCATCCCAATATGTGGTTGGCTGGCCTTTGTGGTCGTTTCTGTTTTCCTTTTTGTTGTCATTGAATGTTGGATGTTGGCCTTCCTCTCTAAAAATGGTTCATTCTTTGTCTGAAAAATTGAACTTAAATCGAAAGCACTTTGCCTTATGTTTATTTAGGATATTTAAAAATATATATATTTAATTTATTCAATTCAGGTATTCAGAGAAGTTCCGACTACTATTATTATTTGTTATGAACTTTTGGAATATTTTTTTTTCACAGAAAAATTTGAGTAAAATAATGGGAATTTCTTACGAAGGCTATAAACATGGGTGTTTTTGGGAAATATTTTAAGAATAATAGCGGACCTCTAAACGAAGATTTCTTAAGAATAATATTTAAAAGGTCAGCGAACCCTAAATGGGAATTCATTGCAGCAAATTTTGGGAGTAGAGATTTAAATTTATGAAATAGTTTAATAATTTCTATTGCCATCCCCAACCAAATCTAAACAAAATCACAATGGAAGATTTTACAGATGTATTGTTGCTGCTGTTACTCCAGGGACTGTTATCACCTTCACAGCTGTATATGGAAATTCCAACAAACCCTCCTTTTTATTTTTACTATGGCCACTAGCTTGTCACACAATCCCTCTGAACTTCACCGTTGATGGGGATCCGCCAACAACTAACAATATTCTAAAATACTTTTGTTATTTGCTTCCCATTGTGTGACCGAGCGAGCAGCTCTCTCTACTGTCGATTTAATTGGTATGAGCGTTGAACAACAAGAGTAATCATGACAAGCCCTCTGAGGGGGGCAAAATTGAATGTCAACATGTTTTTATCGTAACATTCAATTTTAAATAACAGCAGGAAAAAAATTGATAAAATATTTCCATAGGAAATACTATCGATTTCGATAATATTTCGGTAGGAAATACTATCGATTTCGATAATATTTCGGTAGGAAATACTATCGATTTCGATAATATTTCGGTAGGAAATACTATCGATTTCGATAATATTTCGGTAGGAAATACTATCGATTTCGATAATATTTCGGTAGGAAATACTATCGATTTCGATAATATTTCGGTAGGAAATACTATCGATTTCGATAATATTTCGGTAGGAAATACTATCGATTTCGATAATATTTCGGTAGGAAATACTATCGATTTCGATAATATTTCGGTAGGAAATACTATCGATTTCGATAATATTTCGGTAGGAAATACTATCGATTTCGATAATATTTCGGTATCGATGATCGATAGTATTTCCTTTGGAAATATTATCGATGATCGATAGTAGATACTATCGATTATCGATAATATTTCCATAGGAAATACTATCGATTTCGATAATATTTCCATAGGAAATACTATCGATTTCGATAATATTTCCATAGGAAATACTATCGATTTCGATAATATTTCCATAGGAAATACTATCGATTTCGATAATATTTCCATAGGAAATACTATCGATTTCGATAATATTTCCATAGGAAATACTATCGATTTCGATAATATTTCCATAGGAAATACTATCGATTTCGATAGTATTTCTTATAGAAATATTATCGATAATCGATAGTATTTCTTATAGAAATATTATCGATAATCGATAGTATTTCTTATAGAAATATTATCGATAATCGATAGTATTTCTTATAGAAATATTATCGATAATCGATAGTATTTCTTATAGAAATATTATCGATAATCGATAGTATTTCTTATAGAAATATTATCGATAATCGATAGTATTTCTTATAGAAATATTATCGATAATCGATAGTATTTCTTATAGAAATATTATCGATAATCAATAGTTTCTGATGGCTCAAGGACCTTGGTTTTTAATTTTTTTTTGTTTTTAAAGACCTTCGAACTTTTTTTTAAATATTTTTCAACAAAATTAACATTTTTGGAAGAGTTTCACACCCATTTATTTTTTAATTTCACATCAGCTGTCTACAATGTGGATCATCGTTTAGCTAGGTACGTCACAGTTAGAAAAATGCATTCATATATTTTTTTTTTTTTTTGAAACTATCTGCTATCTGTCATGGTACCATCTGTCCCAAAGCCTATCACATAGCCGGTAAATGGACCTCTTCTCATTTGGGACAGCGAATTTCACTCAAACAGCAACGCCCCCTAAATTGACTTGTAGAACTGCAAGCGAGTAGTAATTTCAGTTTTGAACTGGCATTGTCAAGTGAAAGGTTTTGAAAATAAATCGGAAAATAAAAATAAGAAAATTTAAAAAAATTCGAAGGTTAATAAAAAAGTAAAAAAAAATAAAAAAGGATAATATTGAAAAGTAAAAAAAAATAAATATTGAAAATTGGATCTCCACAGTGAAAAATATAATTGTGCTTATTTAAAGGAATTTCTAAAAAATAAAAAATAAATATTTATTCGAAGGACTACAGAAAAATCCCTATTCTTTTATAAAAAATTTACAGTGAAAGCAATGAAATAAAAAAATTAAAAAGTAACAGTGAAAACATTGAACTACAAGTTTTAATATTAAATAAAATATTCGGAGGAAAAAATAAAAAAAAAATATCTAAAAAAAATTATCTTCCTAACCCTAGGGTTAAAACGTGATCTTTTTGAAAGAAATCTAGAAAAACTTTCGAATTTATAGGTGGTCATGAACTCTGCTGTGAAAAAATATTAAATAACAAATTTTGAAATCGACATCAAAAATATGGGAAAATAAACCATTTATTTTCCCAAGCCAAGCAAATAATTTTTTTAAAAAATTAAAAAAAAAATATTAAAAAATCTTGTTCAAAAGAAGACAAGCAAACAAAATGGGCTACCACCTTAGAGTGGCTGCTCTGCTGGCGCTGTGCTGCATTACGCCCCCCATAACGGCTCTGGTGAACTCGTGAGTATCTGTCATTTACAAATGGAAGGCGTTTTATACTTAACTCTCTCTCCCTCTCTCTCTCCCTCTCCATCTATCCCTTTCTCCCCCTCTCTCTCCCTCCTTCAGACCCAAAATCATTTCCAAAGATGGCCACCTAATTTTCGAATCCGGCCTAGATCGCAACATAAGCTTTGTCCTTAAGGGAAAATCTCGCCTGCTGATCAACGACGACTTCGATGTGCTGGATATGCTATTGAAACCCAGCTATCACATGTATGGACCTTCGGGTTCCGTTGAACGCAGAGATTTAGTCGAAGATGAGTTGTTGCAACAGCTAATGGCCGATGCGGCATCGTTGAAGGCGCAAGTCTTTGGTCCCCAAGGTTTGGAATCACGGATTCGTGCTTTACAAAATCGTACCCGTTCGGCGGCTCAATCGATGCGTCGTTACCGCAGTCGTTTGCAACGGGTCGAGACCAAGGTTCAGTCGCTAACGGAACGCCTGGAAACCGACTATTGTCGCAGTAATCCATGTCAGAATGGTGGAGGGTGTTTGAATATTTTTGGAGGATTTGTGTGCAAGTGTCCGAAGAATTTTGAGGTAAGAAGGGGTTATTTGCAGGATATTAAGAAAGATTTCGGGGTCGAGGTTGGAGTTGGTGTTCCAAGGCGGAGTTGGAAAAGAGAAACTATTTTTAGGTTCTTTAAGGCAACGATAACTTTCAACTCCGTTTAGAGACAGGAACTCTCACGTCGACCCCAGCCCTGACAGGAGCAAAGTTCTGATTCCACGACATAATTTGAAAAATAACTTCCCTCCCTCCCCTAGGGCACCACCTGCGAAAAAGATGTCAACGAATGCGCCCTGTATGCCGGCACCGATTTGGGTTGTCAAAATGGCGCCCAATGTATCAATCAATTCGGTTCGTATAGCTGTATTTGCCAGCCCGGTTGGTTCGGCATCCATTGTACCCAGCGCAAGGGTGATTGCCTGCAATCGTCTTCATGGGAGCTATGTGGTCATGGAACTTGTGTCAGCAGCAATGATACCTTTGGCTATAAATGTATCTGTGATCAGGGTTGGAAGACGACGGGTCTGCTGCCAGCCTGTACCGTTGATGTAGATGAATGTGCCGAAAGTCACACGCCATGTGTGACGAAATGTATAAATTTACCAGGTTCCTTTACCTGTGCCCCCTGTGGACCGGGTATGACGGGTAATGGGGTAACGTGTCGCGATATAGATGAGTGTGCCCAGCTGAATGGAGGATGCAGCATGAATCCCAAGGTCCAGTGCATAAATTCCTATGTGAGTAAAGAGAGAAAAAAAAATAGAAAACGAGAAAAAATGAAAGAAAGAGAGAGAGAGAGAAAGAGAGAGAGGGCGAGTCACCCTCTCTTTGCGGAATATGAGAAATAATGTGGTTTTTTTCTTCTCAGGGCTCTTTTCACTGTGGAGAATGTCCTTTGGGCTGGGTGGGTGATGGCCGCACCTGTGAACGTTCCACCGCCGCAACCACATCGGATACCAGCTCTGCTTCGTCAATGGGTTCCATTACCACTTGCGCAACGGCAAATATTTGCCACCCTCTGGCTAAGTGCAATGAAATTTCGAATACCGTCGTCTGTAGCTGTCCGACCGGCATGGTGGGCAGTGGTATTGGACCGAATGGCTGCGTTGTGGGAACCGCCCGGAATTGCATTAGTCAACCATGTTTGGTGAGTAGATGTCACCGGAGGTCATTTACGTAGAGTTGTTGATGCCAATGGAGGTCATCTACTGTAGAATAGATGTCCATGGAGGTTATCTACTCGACAGTAGATGTCACCAGGCCCAGGTACTGTAGAGTAGAGGTCACCAGGTGTCATCTACTGTGGAGTAGAGGTCACCAGGGTTCATCTACTGTGGAGTAGAGGTTACCATGGGCCATCTTCGTTGGAGTAGAGGTCACCAGGGTTCATCTACGGTAGAGTAGAGGTCACCAGGGGTTATCTACTCTGAAGTAGAGGTCACCATGGGCAATCTACTCTGAAGTAGAGGTAACCATTGGCTATTCTGTGGAGTAGAGGTCACCATGGGCCATTTAGTGCAGAGTTGATGTCATCAGGAGTCATTTACGGTAGAGTAGATGTCATCAGGAGTCATCTACGGTAGAGCAGATGTCACCAAGGGTAATCTTCTTTAGAGTAGATGTCACCAGTGTTCATCTACGGTAGAGTAGAGGTCACCAGGGGCCATCTACTCTGAAGTAGAGGTCGCCATGGGCCATCTACTATGAAGTAGAGGTCACCATGGGCCATCTACTGCAGAGTTGATGTCACTAGGGGTCATCTACTCTAGCGTAGATGTCACCAAGGGTAATCTTCTTTAGAGTAGATGTCACCAGAGGTCATCTACGGTAGAGTAGGTGTCACCAGGGTTCATCTACGGTAGAGTAGAGGTCACCAGGGGCCATCTACTCTGAAGTAGAGGTCGCCATGGGCCATGTACTATGAAGTAGAGGTCACCATGGGCCATCTACGGTAGAGTAGATGTCACCAAGGGCAATCTTCTTTAGAGTAGATGTCACCAGGGTTCATCTACGGTAGAGTAGGTGTCACCAGGGTTCATCTACGGTAGAGTAGATGTCACCAGGGGTCATCTACTCTGAAGTAGAGGTCACCATGGGCCATCTACTCTGAAGTAGAGGTCACCATGAGCCATCTACTCTGTAGTAGAGGTAACCATTGGCTATCTTCTGTGGAGTAGAGGTCACCATGGGCCATCTAGTGCAGAGTTGATGTCATCTGGAGTCATCTACGGTAGAGTAGATGTCATCAGGAGTCATCTACGGTGGAGTAGATGTCACCAAGGGTAATCTTCTTTAGAGTAGATGTCACCAGGTGTCATATACTGTGGAGTAGAGGTCACCAGGGGTCATCTACTGTAGAGTAGATGTCAACAGAGGTCATCTACTGTAGAGTAGATGTCAGCAGTGGTTATCTACAGTAGAGTAGATGTCACCAGAGGTCATCTATTGTCGATTAGATGTCACCAGAGGTCATCTACGGTAGCATAGATGGCATCAGGGGTCGTCTACTGAATAGTAGATGTCACCGAAGGTCATCTTCAAAAAAGTCTCTAACATCCCTTCCTTCCTTTCCAGAACGGTGGCACCTGTATCGACAGCGGCAGCAGTTTCAAATGTCTTTGCCCGGTCGGCTTCATTGGCGACACATGTACCCCGGCACCCAGCCCCTGCAGTCCGAATCCCTGCCGCAATAATGGTCGCTGTCGGCCGATTACCACCTCAACCAATCGCTCCTTCACGTGCCAGTGTACCCCCGGTTTTGTTGGTGAGAAATGTGAGAAACAGGCCAGTGATTGTGGTGGTGTCCTGCACGGTGTTACGGGTCAATTGAAATATCCTCCCGGCTCCCTGTACGATCATAATTCACAATGCGCCTGGATAATTCGTACCAACGAATCCATGGTGCTGAACGTAACTTTCCACCACTTCGATTTGGAGGATGCCACCGAATGTCGTTTCGATTGGCTGCAAATTAACGATGGCCGATCGGCGGCGGCCCAGATTATTGGACGTTTCTGTGGCACTCATCTGCCGTTGGGAGGCAACATCATTAGTTCCACCAATAATTTGTATTTGTGGTTTCGATCGGATAACAGCACATCGAAGGAGGGTTTCGAGTTGCAGTGGAACTCCATTGCTCCCCAGTGTGGTGGCGTGATCAATGTGGAGAGCCATGGTACAATCTCAAGTCCCGGATCGCCTGGTAATTATCCCAAGAATCGTGATTGCCATTGGCTGTTGAAGGCCCCCAATGACAAGCGTTTGAAGCTGACATTCTTTAGTCTGCAAATTGAGAGTCATGATAGCTGTAACTACGATTTTCTGGAGGTGGGTTGAGGGCAGATTTTGGGGGGAGGAGGATATTTTTAAATTCTGTGTGTTTATTTCCAGATAACCGATGCCATATCTGGCCAGATGGTGGAGAAATTCTGCAACTCTTCCCATCCGCAGCCCTTGTTGTTGCCCACCAATGAAGCCAATGTGGTGTTCCATTCGGACAACATCGGTTCGGATACGGGATTCCAGATTTTTTATTCCCTGGAGGAACGTCTGCCGGGATGTGGTGGTACTTACACTGCGCCCGAGGGTAGCATTCAATCGCCCCATATCAGTCAGGATTCGTTGTCCTGTGAATATGAGCTAAGCATGACGGGAAGTGAGCGCATCGATATGCAATTCAAGATTTTTAAAATGGGTCCGCAGGATTGTGTGGAGGTGGGTGTGGAAATTTTACATTTCAAAATTTTTGTTCTAAGGGTTTATTTTCTAGATCTATGACATCAATCCTGCCAGTGAAGAAAAATCATTGCAGGCCAAATATTGTGGAGATTATGGGGGCATACCTCCTATGGTGCAATCTGTGTACAGCCGGGCCCTGGTGAAGTTCTATGGAAAGACAGGAGCTGAATTCAAAATTAGCTACGAAGCTGGTAAGTAGCCTTCCAGATCCAGGATATCCAAGGACCTTTATTCCTTAATAAACTTGCCCTTCTCCCATTTAAGATTGCTCCTACACCTTTGAGTCACCCGAGGGTGTCATCATGTCTCCCGGCTATCCCAGGTCTGTGAACAAAGATCGTTACTGTACCTATAAAATTAATACCGAACCGAATACCGTGATTGAGGTGCATTTCGAGGATTTCGATGTTAAGGATTCCGCTGTAGAAGGAGATAGCGAATGTTCCTATACTTCGTTGAGGGTGAGTAAGAGAGAGAGGGAGAGAGAAAACCACTTAATAAAAATCGTCTTTCCTCCCCCAGATCAATGACGACATGAACAAAAACCTCATGGGACCCTACTGCGCCCAAAAGGCGCCCGATGTGGATTTCGTGTCGAAAATAAATTTCCTAATTTTCCATCTGAAGACAGGCTTGACGTCGAGTGGTCGTGGTTTCAAACTGAAATACAAGGCCATACCAACGGCGAAAACCAATTGTGGCGGTGTCTATACCAAACCCGGTTATAACATCCGTTTGCCCACCAACGATGAGGGTACCTATATGCACGACATGGAATGCTATTGGGCGATTATGGCACCGCGCGATAAATACATTCTCATCAATTGGAAATCATTCGATTTGGAAGAGTCAATGGATTGTAGCTATGACTACGTGGAAATTTATGATAATTTGGCTAACGCTGAGAACGCTTTGCCATTGGGAAGGTGAGTACAGAGAAAATAAGAGCAATACAATAAGAGAGAGAGAGAGGTGTAGAGGATGAATAGATTGGGAGGGGGAGATGGAGGGTGAGGGAGGGAGAGATGAATGGTGGGAGATGGAGATGTGGGAGGGAAACTGAGCAGACATTCAAAAAAGATTGAGGGGAGATTCTAGATGGAGAGAGTGAGAGAGAGAGAGAGGTGGGATATAGAAAGAGGTGGGATAGGAAGAGCTGGGAAAAGCATAGACGGGGATGTGGAGAGTGAAGGGGTAGAGGGAGATATAGAGTGAGAAGGGGCTGAGGTAGAGATGGAAAGAGAAAGGACAGAGGGAGAGATGGAAAGAGAAGGGGTAGAGGGAGGCGGAGATAGAAAGGTCATAGGGAGAGTAGGAGAGAGAAGGGGCCGAGGGAGTGTTGGAGAGAGAAGGGCAGAGGGAAAGACGGGACAGAGGGAAAAATGGAGTGAGAAGGGGCAGAGGGAGGCGAAGATAGAAAGGTCATAGGGAGAGTAGGAGAGAGAAGGGGCCGAGGGAGAGTCGGAGAGAGAAGGGGTAGAGGTAAAGACGGGGATAGAGGGGACAGATGGAGAGATGAAGAGAAGGGGCAGAGGGAAAAATGGAGAGAGAGAAGGGGCAGAGGGAGAAACTGAGAAGTCATAGTAGATAAGGTGGCATAAGCGGTCTTCTACAGCAGAGTGGATGGCGTCAGGGATCATCCTCGGAGTCATCTACGATAGAGTAGATGACGTTCGGAGTCATCTACGGAGGAGTAGGTGATGTTCGGAGTCATCTGCGGACGAGTAGATGACATCCGGAGTCATCTCCGGAGGAGTAGATGTCGTCCGGAGTCATCTACGATAGAGTATATTACGTTCGGAGTCATCTACGGAGGAGTAGGTGATGTTCGGAGTCATCTACGGAGGAGTAGATGACGTTCGGAGTCATCTACGGAGGAGTAGATGTCGTCCGAAGTCATCTAAGGAGGAGTCGATGAAGTTCGGAGTCATCTTCGGAGGAGTAGATGACGTTCGGTGTCATCTACGAAGGAGTAGATGACGTTCGGCGTCATCTACGGAGGAGTAGATGACGTTCGGAGTCATCTACGAAGGAGTAGCTGACGTTCGGAGTCATCTACGGAGGAGTAGATGCTGTTCGGAGTCATCTACGGAGGAGTAGATGCTGTTCGGAGTCATCTACGGAGGAGTAGATGCTGTTCGGAGTCATCTACGGAGGAGTAGATGCTGTTCGGAGTCATCTACGGAGGAGTAGATGCTGTTCAACGTCATCTACGGAGGAGTAGATGCTGTTCGGAGTCATCTACTGAGGAGTAGATGCCGTTCGGAGTCATCTTCGCTAGGGTAGATGACGTCCGGAGTCATCTACGGAGGAGTAGATGACGTCCAGAGTCATCTACGGAGGAGTAGATGACCTTCGGAGTCATCTACGGAGGAGCAGATGACCTTCGGAGTCATCTACGGATGAGTAGATGACGTTCTTAGTCAACAACGGAGGAGTAGGTGACGTTCGGAGTCATCTTCGGAGGAGTAGATGACGTTCCGAGTCATCTACGAGAGAGTAGATGACTTTCGGAGTAATCTGCGGACGAGTAGATGTCGTCCGGAGTCATATACGGAGGAGTAGATGACGTTCGGAGTCATCTTCTGAGGAGTAGATGCTGTTCGTGTTAATCTACGGAGGAGTAGATGACGTTCGGAGTCATCAACGGAGGAGTAGGTGACGTTCGGAGTCATCTTCGGACGAGTAGATGACCTTCAGAGCCATCTACGCTAGAGTAGATGATCGATAGTGTAAATGATTTCATCTTCGTCCAAGTAGATGACGTCAGATGCATCTTCATTAGAGTTGATGACGTCACTTATCTCTCATTTTCTCAACATCCAATTCCTCTACCCTCCCCCTTTTGGCCTTCATTTCAGGTTTTGCGACAGCCATCGAGCCGAATCCTTCCTCAGCCATTCCCGCCTGGTGACGATAAAATTCGTCTCCGACTCCACAGATGCCAGGGGTGGCTTCGAGTTGACCTATGATTTTGTGGATAACAAGAATCAGTGCAATGGCCATATTTACTCCTCTGTGGGTACCTTGAGATCGCCGAATTGGCCTTCCAACTACACTGAAGATTTGGACTGCACTTGGGTTATCAACACGGCACATGGTACGCAGCTGGAATTGTTGGTGGAGGTTTTCGATGTGGAGCCGGCTTCAAATTGTTCCAGCGATTGGCTCGAGATAAGGTAGGATAACGGAGGTGAAAGGTTTTAAATTTTTGAAGGCTAATGGGGTTTTCTTTCTTCCAGGAATGGTGGCTCAAACCAGTCCTCCCTGTTGGGCATCTTCTGTGGCAATCACTCCCAGATACCCCATGCCATACCCTCGTTTACGAATCAAATATATCTGCACTTCCATTCGAATAGCTTCGATAATCGCCGTGGTTTCCAGATCGGCTGGTATGTCTTCTCCAGTGGTTGTGGTGGTAATTTGGAATCGGATCGGGGAATGATTACCTCGCCATTCTATCCAAATCCCTATTCGAATAATGCCCGTTGCGAGTGGCGCATACATGTCCATCCCGGATCGACCATACACTTCACGGTGAATGACCTGGATCTGGAGCAGCATGCCAGTTGCCGCTATGACAAGTTGGAAATCTATGAGGGCACCACGGAGCATAAGAACCGCGTAGCTATGATTTGTAATTTGAGTCCCGATGAAATGGGCAAGCAGTATGTGGTGGATAGTCATGAGGCGTTGGTGTCCTTTGAATCAGATGATTCGAATCGACAGAGAGGTTTCTCGTTGAGTTACCATTCCAATTGTACGGTGACCTTGACCCAGCATTATGGAGTCATTGAAAGTCCCAATTATGGAGTATCCTTTGCCGATTTCGGGGAGGAGGTGAATTGCTTGTGGACCATTAAGGCTCCCAAGGGAAATCGCATACAACTGGAGATCACCCACTTTGAGACGGCGGACAAGACCGCTAAATTGACAATCATGGATGGTAATCGCAGTCTGGAGATAAACAGTGTGGGCCAGACCCTCAACTCCACCAGCGACACCATGGTGATCAAGCAGACAACAAATCAGCTCAGCTTCCAGCTGGAATACGCCATGGTGGGTTGTTTGGGAGTGCTACGGGCAGCCGAGGGTGTTCTACAATCGCCATCCTATCCACATCCCTATCCCAATGACATGGAATGCTTTTGGGAAATTATTACCCAACCCGGACAGGGCATTGAATTTGCCATCAATCAAATGGATTTGGAAGGATCTGAGAATTGCACCAAGGATGCCTTGGTGGTATCGCCACATCGCAACACCAAAAATCCCCGCGAGCGACATTGTGGTCGGGCGGAAAATTTGGTAATAAAAAGTTCCAGTCATCGGATGTATGTGCGTTTCTACAGTGATGGGCAAAACAATGGCAAAGGTTTTGAGGCTTCCTATAGCACCCATAAGTCAAGTAAGTGGAACCACCGGAATTATTTCCAAATGGAAACTAATCTCTTTATTTTTTCCGGCAGCATGTGGTGGCATCCTGACGGCCAAAAACGGAGTCATAACCTCGCCCAATTATCCTAATTCATATCCCGAGGAGGCAGACTGCGAGTGGACCATTGAGGTGAGCGAACATCACACCATCATCTTGACCATGGAGGAAATGGAGCTGGAGAATTTCTATGGCTGTGAAATGGACTATGTGGAGGCCACCGAGAACTCAACATCTTCGGATGAGCCGGTCTCGATATTCAAGCAATGCGGTGACATGGATGAAGACGAAGATGACGGTAGGAAGGTGCTAACGTGGCGCAGTACCTCGAATGTGGTCACCGTGCATTTCCATTCAGATGATTCGGTGTCGGCAAGGGGTTTCAAGCTGAGCTTTGTGGAGGTAAGGAGGGAAAACAAGGCGGTGGAGAATTTTCTATGGAGAAAATTTCCCTTGGAGAAAATCCTCTATGAAGAAAATTCTCTTTATGGAGAAAATTTTCTATGGAGAGAAAATTTTCTGTGGAGAGAAAATTTTCTGTGGAGAGAAAATTTTCTATGGAGAGAAAATTTTCTGTGGAGAGAAAATTTTCTATGGAGAGAAAATTTTCTATGGAGAGAAAATTTTCTATGGAGAGAAAATTTTCTGTGGAGAGAAAATTTTCTATGGAGAGAAAATTTTCTGTGGAGAGAAAATTTTCTATGGAGAGAACATTTTCTGTGGAGAGAAAATTTTCTGTGGAGAGAAAATTTTCTGTGGAGAAAAAATTTTTTCTGTGGAGAGAAAATTTTTTCTGTGGAGAGAAAAGTTTTTCTGTGGAGAGAAAATTTTTTCTGTGGAGAGAAAATTTTTTCTGTGGAGAGAAAATTTTTTCTGTGGAGAGAAAATTTTTTCTGTGGAGAGAAAATTTTTTCTGTGGAGAGAAATTTTTTTCTGTGGAGAGAAAATTTTTTCTGTGGAGAGAAAATTTTTTCTGTGGAGAGAATTTTTTTTTTGTGGAGAGAAATTTTTTTCTGTGGAGAGAAATTTTTTTCTGTGGAGAGAAAATTTTTTCTGTGGAGAGAAAATTTTTTCTGTGGAGAGAAAATTTTCTATGGAGAGAAATTTTTTTCTGTGGAGAGAAAATTTTCTGTGGAGAGAAAATTTTCTATGGAGAGAAAATTTTCTGTGGAGAGAAAATTTTCTATGGAGAGAAAATTTTCTGTGGAGAGAAAATTTTCTGTGGAGAGAAAATTTTTTCTGTGGAGAGAAAATTTTTTCTGTGGAGAGAAAATTTTTTCTGTGGAGAGAAAATTTTTTCTGTGGAGAGAAAATTTTTTCTGTGGAGAGAATTTTTTTTTTGTGGAGAGAAATTTTTTTCTGTGGAGAGAAATTTTTTTCTGTGGAGAGAAAATTTTTTCTGTGGAGAGAAAATTTTTTCTGTGGAGAGAAAATTTTTTCTGTGGAGAGAAAATTTTTTCTGCGGAGAGAAAATTTTTTCTGTGGAGAGAAAATTTTTTCTGTGGAGAGAAAATTTTCTATGGAGAGAAAATTTTCTATGGAGAGAAAATTTTCTATGGAGAGAAAATTTTTTCTGTGGAGAGAAAATTTTCTATGGAGAGAAAATTTTTTCTGTGGAGAGAAAATTTTCTATGGAGAGAAAATTTTTTCTGTGGAGAGAAAATTTTCTATGGAGAGAAAATTTTTTCTGTGGAGAGAAAATTTTCTATGGAGAGAAAATTTTTTCTGTGGAGAGAAAATTTTCTATGGAGAGAAAATTTTCTATGGAGAGAAAATTTTCAATGGAGAGAAAATTTTCTATGGAGAGAAAATTTTCTATGGAGAGAATTTTCCCTTGGAGAAAATATTTTGGGGAGAAAAAATTTTCCGTGGAGAAAAAAAATTTTCTATGGCGGAAATTTTTGTGGAGAAAATTTTCTATGGAGGAAAATTTTCTATGGTGAAAATTCTCTCTATGGAGGAACATTTTCTGTGGCAAAAATTTTCTATGGGAAAAAATTTTCACCTGGGGCTGAATAGAAAATACTTCGGAAAATACTTATTCATAGAAAATTTTCCGTAGAGAAAATCTTCTCATCTAAATCTCCTTTCAGGATTGTGGCCAACGTGTCGAATTGGAAGAGGATGGAGTCTTCAGCTTGGATTTTGCCTACCATACGCCGCGTAATCGCACCTGTGAATGGCAGTTGATTTCGAAGGACCCCAGTAGACATATCCTTCTCACTTTTGTCCATTCGCAAATGTATCCCGCACTGGCCTACACATATCGTTCGGAGGGTGAATGCATGGACAAGGGTGTTGTTGTGTACGAGGGTGTTGATGACGTCGACGCACCTGTTCGATCCCGTTTCTGTACCAGCCATCCTCCGGATATAATTTCAAATGGCCATGCCCTGACCTTGAAAGTACCCATTAATTTGATCTCTGAGATGACCGCCTATGCCTATCAAATGGATAGTTTTTGTGGGGCCATGCACACCTCGTTGAGTGGCAAATTCTCGACACCCTATTATCCCAGCTCGTATCCCCCGAATATCCAATGTGATTGGTATATCTCGCCCACTAAGGGCAATAGCATCCAGGTGACATTTGAATCGCTGGATCTGGAAGATTCGGATGAATGTAATAACGATTATGTTGAGATTCGGGAATCATCGGCTTTGGGTAAATTTTTGGGTGTGTATTGTGGTAATCGTTTGCCGCCCACCGTCAAAGGAAGAGAGGATTTATTCATTCGCTTCCAAAGTAATGAGGATGTTGTGGGTGAGGGTTTTCTGGCTAGCTATAGCTATGGTAAGTTGGAAGGGGGGAGGTATGATTTTGGAATGTAATTTTTTGTTTTTTTTCCTGTTAGTGAAACACAATGAATTGAATGGCACCGAGGGTGTACTGGAATCACCGGCGTATCCTACCAAATTCCATAGCCATGATATGTACAGTTGGCGCATTACGGTACACAAGGATTATGTTGTCCTGCTGACCATCAAACACATTGTGGACACGGATATTCCATATATAAAGGTGAGAAAAATCTTCTATAAGAATATTTTTCGAAGTACAAATAGGCTAGGATTTAAAAAAATCGACGTATGAAATGGCGTGGATTTTTTAAATATTTTTTTTTGAACTACCCAAAGGCGTGTATTTTTTAAAAAATATTTTTAAGAACTACCAACAGGCGTGGATTTTTTAAAAAATATTTTTTTTGAACTACCAACAGGCGTGAATTTTTTAAAAAAATATTTTTAAGAACATCCAATAGGCGTGGATTTTTTAAAAAATATTTTTTTCAAATTACCAGATGGTCGTTGATTTTTTTAAAAAATATTTTTTCAAAGTACCAGATGGGTGTGGATTTTTTAAAAAATATTTTTAAGAACTACCAATAGGCGTGGATTTTTTAAAAAATATTTTTAACAACTACCAATAGGCGTGGATGTTTTAAAAAAATATTTTTAAGAACTACCAACAGGCGTGGATTTTTTAAAAAAATATCCTCAAGAAGTACCAACAGGCTTGGCGTGGATTTTTTAAAAAAAATATCTTCAAGAAGTACCAACAGGCTTGGATTTTTTAAAAAAATATTTTTTTGAACTACCCAAAAGCGTGGATTTTTTAAAAAATATTTTTTTTGAACTACCAACAGGCGTGGATTTTTTAAAAAAATATTTTTAAGAAATACCAGTGCGGGGATTTTTTAAAAAAAATATTTTTTTAAACTACAAATAGGCGTGGATTTTTTAAAAATTATTTTTTTTAGACTACCAAGAAGGGTGGATTTTTTAAAAATTATTTTTTTAAACTACCAAGAAGGGTGGATTTTTTAAAAATTATTTTTTTTTTAACTAGCAAGAAGGGTGGATTTTTTAAAAAATATTTTTTAAACTACCAATAGGCGTGGATTTTTTAAAAAAAAAATTTTTAAGAATTACCAAAAAGACGGGGATTTTTTGAAAATATATATTTTTTATACTACCAATAGGCGTGGATTTAAAACAAATCTATTTTTAAGAATAACGATGGGGGGAATAAGGATGGGGTTTTTTAAAAATATAATTTTTTTATACTGCCAATAGTCGTGGATTTATTAAAAATATATTTTTAATATTACAAGATGGGCGTGGATTTAAAAAATATATTTTTTATATTACAAGATGGGAGTGGATTAAAAAAAAATATTTTTAAGAATTACCAAAAAGATGGTTATTATTTAAAAAATATATTTTTTAAAAAATTATTTTTATGGGCGTGGATTTTTTAAAAATATATTTTTTATATTACCAGATGGGCGTGGATTTTTTTAAAAATATATTTTTTATATTACCAGATAGTAGTGGATTTATTTAAAAATATATTTTCAAAATTTTAGATGGGCGTGGATTTATTTAAAATATATTTTTTATATTACCAGATGGTTGTGGATTTTTTAAAAATATTTTTTAAAGTTTCAGATGGGCGTGGGTTTTTTAAAAATATAATTTTTTATATTACCAGATGATCATAGATTTTTTTAAAAATATTTTTTCAAAGTACTTGGGCGTGGATTATTTAAAAATATTTTGTCAAAGTTTCAGATGGGCGTGGGTTTTTTTAAAATATTTTTCCAAGTTTCAGATGAGCGTGGATTTTTTAAAAATATTTTTTCAAAGTTCCAGATGGGCGTGGATTTTTTTTAAATATTTTTCAAAGTTTCAGATGGGCGTGGATTTTTTTAAAAATATTTTTCCAAGTTTCAGGTTGGTGTTGATTTTTTTAAAAATATTTTTTCAAAGTTTCAGATGGGCGTGGATGTTTTAAATATGTTTTTTTAAAGTTTCAGATGGGCGTGGATTTTTTTAAGAATATTTTTTTCCAAGTTTCAGATGGGCGTGGATTTTTTTAAAAATATTTTTTTCCAAGTTTCAGATGGGCGTAGATTTTTTAAAAATATTTTTTAAGTTTTAGATGGGCGTGGATTTTGTTAAGTTTCAGATGGGCGTGGATTTTTTTAAAAATATTTTTTTAAGTTTCAGATGGGCGTGGATTTTTTAAAAATATTTTTTTAAGTTTAAGATGGGCGTGGATTATTCAAAAATATTTTTTTTTTTTGAATAATTATTATTCAAATATTTTTTCAAAAATATTTTTATACCCTCCACCATTCTATGGAGGGTATATTAACTTTGTCATTCCGTTTGTAACTCCTCGAAATACTCATATCAGACCCAACAAAGTATATATATTCTTGATCAGCGTAAAATTCTAAGACGATTTAGCCATGTCCGTCTGTCTGTCTGTCTGTCTGTCCGTCTGTCTGTCCGTCTGTCTGTCCGTCTGTCTGTCTGTTGTAATCACGCTATCTTTCGAATGAATTGAGATAGATGGCTAAAATTTTGCACACATGTTTAGTTTTCCAGTAGGCAGGTTAAGTTCGTAAATGGGCCATGTAGGTCCACGTTTTCATATAGCCCCCATATAACGGTACCTCCCGATATTCGGTATTTTAATGATTTTAGCGACATTATTCACCGGAATTGTTTCAAATTTGGTATTTAAAGTTCGAAATGGATACTACACCCTAAGACAGAAAATTGTCTGTGCAAGTCCACGTCTTCATATAGCCTCCATATAACGGTACCTCCCGATATTCGGTTTTTTAATGAATTTAGCGACATTATTCACCGGAATTGTTTCAAATTTGGTATTTGAAGTTCGAATTGGATACATCACCCTAAGACAAAAAATTGTCTGTGCAGGTACACGTCTTCGTATAGCCCCTATATAACGGTACCCCCATATATTCGGTATTTTTATGATTTTAGCGACATTATTCACCGGAATTGTTTTAAATTTGGTATTTGAAGTTCGAATTGAATACTACTCCCTAAGACAGAAAATTGTCTATGCTGGTTCAGGTCTTCGTATAGGGCCCATATATCAGTACATCCCTATATTCGGTATTTTGACAATTTTAGCTACAATACCCACCGAAATTGTTTGAGGTGTGGTATTTGAAGTTCGTAATGGATGCTACAGCCTGTGACAGAAAATTGTCTATGCTGGTCCAGGTCTTCGCACAGCTCCGATATAACGGTACCTCCCTATATACGATATTTTAATGATTTTAGCAAATCATCATATATATACTTTGTTGGGTCTTTTAGCAACCGTTAATTTCAAGTTACGAATTATAGCTTATGACAAACAATGCCTATGTAGGCCTACATCGTATACACCTCAATATAATGCCTATATTTGGTATTTTTAAAATTTTAGCAGAATGTTTAATGATTTTATTTTCTGAAAATTTCCAAATTCATTCCGAATGGTGGAGGCTATTCAAAGTTCGGCCCGGCCGAACTTACTACTTTTTGACTTGTTTTAAGTATTAGATGGGCGTGGATTTTTTATACCCTACAACACTATGTGTTGGGGGTATTATAAGTTTGATTGGGCCAGAATTTATGTAACACCTCGAAATATTGGTTTCCCATATAGGAAAGTATATATGGATCCTCCTAGCTCGCCGAGCTGAGTCGATCTAGATATGTATGTCCGTCCGTCCGTCTGTCCGTCTGTCCGTCTGTCCATGTTAATTTGTAATCACTCTACAGGTCGCAATTATGGCCCGATCTTCACGAAATTTAGAATGTAGGTGGGGTTAAGGTCAGAATAGAACCCTATTTCTTTTGGAGATGATCGCATAATATTTAGGGGTTGAAATGGACCAAAAACTGAAAAATTTCCTGATTTTGCAGTTGCTCTACAGGTCGCAATTATAGACCAATCGACGCGGAATTGCACATGTATCTAGAGTTTAGGGCGGGGAAGAAGGCTACCAATTTGGGTGGTCATCGGATAATATTTAGCGGATAAAATAGACCATATCTTTTGTGTTGAAAAAATTCAAAATTTTTCATTAAACCGCGAATATTTTAAATCCCGGCGAAATCACAAAGCCATGACAAGGTTATTTCTGATCTTTACATTGATGTTAAGATGCAACAAATCGGATATATAGCAAAATATGTGCGATATATATGCCTATCAAAGAAGATAGTCTTGAAAGATCTCATATATGTCGAGAACGGCTGAACTGATTTCGACAGTTCTCATTAATTCAGAATGGCCTCTTGGCAGGAAAGAAAAAACGTCTAAAAAATCGCATAAAAATACCTCTCTAAAGATGAAAATATTGATTTTGTAATATTTTCTCATATTTTTTCAATTTTGTCATATTTTTGGCATATTTTCATTTTGAATTAAACATTTGGTAATATTTCTACAGCTAACAAAACTAAGTAGTTAGGATATCAGGATATCATATACAGATCGCATTTATGGCCCGATCCTTATGAAATTTTGCATGGGGATAAGATGAGGGTCAGAATAGAAGCCTACTCTTTTTGGAGATAATCACCATATATTTAGGGGTTGAAATGGACAAAAAAACTGCAAAATTGTCAGCAAGTCGTAATTATCGCCCGATCGCATTTAAATGGAGGTTACCGGACATTGCAAAAGCCAAATAGTTTTGGATGGCCATCCAAAAATATTCAATGTGTGAAATAGTTTGCCAACTTTTGTAGACAAAATACGAAAATATCCATTCCAGTGTCTTTTTGGAGAATTCACAAATACAGAAAAGACGCACTTCTGACTATTTCGTTAAGGCTGATTTCCTTGAAGAATATAGTCAAATGTCTGTATCTCACATAGATGCGTTTAAGTCAAAAACCAATAATAAATGTTAATTTTTTGCCACTTCTGAGAGATTATAGGTCTTTGGGAAATATTGGTTCCAGATCTAGGAAGTGCAACATCTACCAATAAATTGGAAATGAGCAAATTAGTTCAAGTTTCTATTATTCGAAAATTAGAACGAAACCTGATGGTTTTCTTTTATTATTTGTCACAATATCTTGTGGAATTCTTTCGAGTATATGGCCTATATAAACTGTATAATTTATTAGAGTGTTGTAGGGTATTCAACGGTCGGCCCCGCTCGACTGTAGCCTTTGCTTACTTGTTTTTAAATATTTTTGTCAAAATATCAGAAGGATGGTCGAAATTTTAGATTTTTTTTTAATATTTTTTCAAACTATCAGGTGGGCGTGGTTTAAAAAAAATGTTCGAACTACCAATGTTTTTTTTTTGTTTTGAAATATTTTTGATATATTTTTTTCAATTTTGAAAATTTGCCTCTTTTCCCAGTTCTACGATGGCTATTCGGATATAGGAGCCCCCATTGACTATGCTAACGGCCACATTGTCCAGACGAATACAAATATCCTGTACTTGACTGCCTATCGCGGGCCCTTCCAATTCGAGTGGCAACAGCTTTCGAGGCAGGCAGTGCGCGATAATCAAACCGCTCAACGCATTGCCGAACTCTGCGGCAGCCAAACGTTGCGTGTCAATAACTCGTTGTTCTTCAACTCACCCGGCTATCCTGCTGGCTATGCCCCCAACTTGAAATGTTCTTGGATTGTCATGGCCAATGATCCCAGTCGCCATGCTGTGGTAACCTTCCTGAAGATCGATTTGGAGGAGTATGCTGAATGTTTTGCCGACTATGTAAAGATTTCGGCCAGCAAAGATTTGGAAAATTGGCAGGTTCTAGACACCATGTGTAAAAAGTCTGCGGACAAGGAACATAAATATCATGGCACTCCGTATTTGAAAATGGAACTGGTAACGGATTCGGGAGTGAATAAGACAGGGTTTAGTTCGCTGATCACCACCAAATGTGGTTCGGAGCTAACGGAAAGCAGTGGTTTTGTGAATATCACCATGGAGCGCAGTAATGAATACAATGCCGAGTGTGTGTGGTCGATAAGGGTAAGGCAGGGTAGGAGAATACGTCTTCAGTTCCCCGATTCCTTGCTGCAGGGCCAATTTTCCCAGGGTAGCTGCAATGTTTTCTTTTTGGTACGCAATGGCCTGGATGAGGATTCACCGTTTTTGGGAAAGGGGAAATATTGTGAGAATAATATAACCGATATTCTGGAGACCACCTCGAATCGGGCCTATGTGAAATTCTCCCGCAATGGTTTCCCAGGCTATCGAGCTTCGTTCCGTTATGAGGAGATTACCCATGATTGTTCAAGGGAAATTGTTCTGAATGAAAATACCAAATTCGATAGAGAGCAGGTGATTACGACACCGAATTATCCGAATATCCCAAATCCCCATACGGAGTGTGTGTGGAAGGTGAGGGCACCGCTGCACAAGACCATCAACCTGGATTTCTTTGGGGAATTCGATTTGGCAGGTGGTGAGGAAGAGGTGGCGCAAAAGACCTGTGATTTGGAATATGTCCAGGTGAATGATGGCAGCTCGGAGTTGGCCCCCTTGGTGGGTCGCTACTGTGGCAAGACGAAACCCAATTCCCTGAGATCGACGGGGAATGTGTTGCGTCTCATGTACTACACCGATGCCCTGGAGCCGCACAAGGGTTTCCAGGCCAAGGTCAGTTTGAGTCGTTGTGGTGGCTTCTATTACGAGAAGGAGGGTGTGGTTAAGGCCCCAGCCAATTTGAAGCTAAAGCCCCAGGAAAAGGAGCTGGAATGTGTGCTGACCATTGAAGCGGAACTGGGCAGTACCATTCACATTACCATGGATAAACTGGCCACCAAGGACAGCAATGATGAAGAAACGGCCTGTGCCAATAGCACCCATCTGGAGCTGCAGGAAATCGATGCCTTTAGCTCGGGTTTTGACAACATCACCGACACCCTGATACTCTGTTCCGAGGTGGGCCACAGCTATATTGTGGAGACCAACAAACTGGTGCTGCGCTACAGGATACGCAATGGCTATCACAATCCGGAGGCCTTTGAGATTTCCTACAAGGCGGTGGGTTCGCGTTGCGACGAAACCATTGAGGCGTCGCAGGGCATTTTGCAGACTCCCAACTATCCTCTTGGCAATAGCATGCCCATCCAGTGTTCCTGGCGCATACGTTCACCCAAGGGCACCCGCATCAAGGCCGAGTTCCTGGACTTTGATATGGGCTCGGAACAGGCCATGGGTCGCGTGCATAGACGCATCCTCTTTGCCAATGATTTCAAGATGTCATCGATCATTGAAAGGATTTCCAATAATCCGCCAGCGGCCATTTACTCCACCGACAATACCATGGCCATTGATGCCTTGATTCTGTCGTTCAACCGGAATCGGGGATTCAAACTAAAATTCACAGCCTATGAAAGGTCTTTGCATTGTCGTTCGTTGTTTTTGATCACCGATTCTCAGCCGGAGACGTTGAGATACAGGCGTGATAATAATACGGCCGTGTACTGTTCATATCCCCTGAAAGTGGATTTTAATCAAACCGTGTCGATCCACGTTACCAAGGAAGAGAAATATCCGCGGGGCCAATGGTTGCCCTATGGCTGTCAGTATTTCAGTTCGCTGCAGTTGTATGTGGGGGAGGAACGGCTGTTGCCCTCGCTGATGTGTTCGAATGAGACGCAACCCTCCTTTAGGTTACCCTTTTCCACCCGCCTGGTTATCAATGGCAATGTCCGTAACTCGCTCAAGGAAATGGAGCTACAGTACACCCTCTACAAATGCGGTGGCATTTGGTCGCTCTTCTATTTCGATGAGTTCAATATTACCCAGCCTCAGATGGGCAACCACACGGGTGCCCTGGAATGTGCCTGGGCCGTATGGGCCACACCACCCACCACAGAGCCACCCGATTTTGAGGATCGCTATGAGGAATTACAAATTGATGTGACGCTCAGTGTTGACTTCAAGGGTAAATGTGAGGAGGAGTATCTCCTCGTCTACAATGGACCCAATCAGAATTTCCCCCACCTGGGCAGATATTGTGGCAAGAGTGGACCCACGAATATGGTCGTGGGTGGAGGTGGTGTTTTCCTGGAATTCATCACCCTGGAGTACAACAATCAATCCACGTTTAATTTCAGTGTCCGGGAGGGTAGCGGCTGTGGTGGCAAGCTGACCTATCCCTATCGCCAGATCCGTGTGGACTATCAATACACAAACAATGTGGAGTGCATTTGGGAGTTGAGCGCCGAGCCCGGCTTCCATTTGGCGGCCATATTCGAGGATCGCTTCTTCATAGAGGCCAGTGCAAATTGCAGCAAAGATTATCTGCTGTTCCAGCAAAAGAATGCCGATGGCAAGTGGGAAGATCTACAGCGGTTGTGTGGCCGCAACCCTCCGCCCAGGATCAACACTACCAGCACTGACTTGCGCATGATCTTCCGCACCGATGACAATGTCAAGGGTGATGGCTTCACGGTAAACTTCGAGCGTAACTGCGGAGGACTGCTCTATGCCACGAACACCCTACAGCAAATCTCCTCACCCGGCTATCCCACCGCCTATTTGCACAACCTGGTGTGTAACTACACCATACTCCCCTCGCCCGAAATAAATCGCACCGAATCGAATAGCCTCTATCTGAGGTTCATTGAATTCGAGGTGGAGGATGCTCCCACCGTAAAGTGCCTTTTCGACAATGTCACCATTAGCACCACCGACTCTTCCGGCAATCCTGTGACCAATGTCCTTTGCGGACGCAAACCCAACTATGAGGTGAGATCGAAAAACTCCATCAGTGTTGTACTGCGCACCGACAGCAGCTACGGATCCAAGGGCTTCCTCATGGAATATGGCCACAACAAATGTGGAGCCACCATTACCAATAGCTCCATCATTGAATCACCTAGGGATTCGGCCTCCAAAATGTATCCCCACTCCAGCAAATGTTCCTGGCGCCTAGAGGCCCCGGAAAACTACAAGATACTCATTAAATTCCAGGAGCTCAATTTCGAGGGTCAGGCCATGTGTACCTATGATGCTGTGGAAGTCTACAAGGGTCTCAACACAGTCGAGGATCAACGTTTGGCCAAATTCTGTGGCAATTTGACCGGCAAAATTCCCATAATTACTATCCCGCAAAACACTGCCCTTATCCATAGCTTTTCCGATGAAAGGGATGCTTCGAACGGCTTCCGGGCCTTGGTCAGTTTCATACCGAACTGTGACAATGCCATTTATCTCAGCTCCAACAACAACACCTATGAGTTCAATCGTTTCGCTGGCCAATATGGCAATAATCTGGATTGCAGCTGGCTTTTTACCACCACACCCGATCGCCAGCTGCAGGTGGAGTTCAGTTCATTCCATGTTGAAAGTTCGCCCAGCTGCTCGGATGATTATCTGCAGATCAAAGATGGATCGGGGCTCTTTGCCGACACTATTGGCACCTTCTGTGGCCATGATGTGCCCAGTCAAATGGTCTCTTCGCGCCACACAATGCTGTTGCGATTTGTCACCGATGCCAATGAAACCAGCACCGGATTTACGGCTAAAATTAGATCGGTCCCAAAACTGTGTGGACAACATATTCGCGAGTTGAGCGGAAATCAGAAGGTGAGTGCAGAGAGAATTTGATTTCAAAAGAAAGGAGAAAAAAAAAGAGAAAAAGGAAGTCTTCTTTGGCCAGAAGAGGTCCTCTGCAGACAAAAAACCCTTCAAGGGACAGAAGACCTCTCCAGGGGACAGAAGAACCCTTCAAGGGACGAAAGACCTCTTCAGGGTGCAGAAGACCTCTTCTGTGGATAGGAGACCTCTTCTGTGGACAGAAGAGCTCTTCAGGGGGCAGAAGACCTATTCTTTGTAGAGAAGACCTCTTCTTTGTAGAGAAGACTTCTTCTGTGGACAGAAGACCTCCTCTGTGCCAGAAGATCTCTTCTGTGGATAGAAACCTCTTCTGGGGACGGAAGACCTCTTCTGTGGACAGAAGACCTTTTCTGTTGACAGAAGACCACTTCTGTGGCCAGAAGACCTCTTCTGTGGACAGAAGACCTCTTCTGTGGACAGAAGACCTCTTCTGTGGACAGAAGGCCTCATCTGTGGACAGTAGATCTCTTCTGTGGACAGGAGACCTCTTCTGTGGACAGAAGTCCTCTTCTTTGGACAGAAGACCTCTTCTGTAGACATACGGCCTCTTCTGTGTACAGACGGCCTCTTCTGTGGACAGACGGCCTCTTCTGTGGACAGAAGACCTCTTCTGTGGACAGATGACCTCTTCTGTGGACAGAAGACCTTTTCTGTGGACAGAATACCTCTTCTGTGGACAGAAGACCTTTTCTGTGGACAGAAGACCTTTTCTGTGGACAGAAGACCTTTTCTGTGGACAGAAGACCTCTTCTGTGGACAGAAGACACCTTCTGTGGACAGAAGACACCTTCTGTGGTCAGAAGACCTCTTCTGTGGACAGAAGACCTCTTCTGTGGACAGAAGACCTCTTCTGTGGACAGAAGACCTCTTCTGTGGACAGAAGACCTCTTCTGTGGACAGAAGACCTCTTCTGTGGACAGAAGACCTCTTCTGTGGAGAGAAGACCTCTTCTGTGGACAGAAGACCTCTTCTGTGGACGGAAGAACTCTTCTGTGGGCAGGAGGCCTCTTCTGTGGACAGAAGACCTCTTCTGTGGACAGAAGTCTTTGTCTGCGACTAGAAGACGGCTTCGAGGAAAGAACACCTCTTCAGGAGAAAGAGGACCTCATTTGGGGACAGACAACCTCTTCTCTGGAAAGAAGGCCTCTTCTGAGGACAGAAGACATCTTCTGTGGGCAGAAGTCTTCTTCTGCGGACAAAATACGTCTGTGCGTATACGTCCTGTCGACACTCATACGACCCTTGGGGACTCCGGTAACTTTTTTAATAACCTGCTTTGAATTACCTTTATTTCTTTCTGCCCTTCCAGACTGCTGTCATCTCTTCTCCCGATGATGGGTCCGGCAAATATCCCAACAACATAAACTGCGTGTGGAAAATTAAGAGCGCCAAAAATATTCACTTTACCTTTGAGAAATTGGATATTGAGGCCAGTGGGGCCAACGACTCGTGTTCCGAGGATTATGTGAAAATAATTAACGAGGATGTAAGCATTTGAAGCCTAATAAGAGTTATAGGGAGGAATTTTACAAAAAGAAAAAAAAATAAATATTTTTCAGGATGCCGATATCATCGAAAAGGGTTTGGGTACCAAGCTGGTGTTCAATGGATTCAATCGAAATTATGGTCCGTATTTAGGTTCGGATTTTGGTGCTGAGCACATTTATTGCGGTAATCAGCTACCGAATGACTATTTCTCCTCCTCGAAGTCGGTGTTTGTGAAATTCAAGAGCAACGATAAGGTGGCCAAGTCGGGATTTAAATTAAGGGCCACCATGGCAGAGGGTGGGTTTTGAAACATATTATTGTGAGAATTTGAAATGGATTTTTCTAATTTTTCCCCTGTAGGATGCTTCCGTAACTTCACTGGGACCCAGGGCCGCATAAAACTGGCCGAATCTTCCGACCATTGTGACATTTATATCAAATCCCCCGTCAATACCTCGCTGAGTTTTTATTACAATGAGTTGATGTTTTCAGAATATGACTGTGCCGCCGAATATCTGGAGGTGTTCGATGCAAAAACCAATAGCTCTTTGCAAAAATTATGCCAATACGTTGAGACCGGAAAATCGTTGTTTACGAACTCGAACGAATTGCGTTTGAATTTGAAGTTGAGTGGTTATTACACTCAAATCGATTTTACCTATGTGGCGAGTCGCGATGCACCCGGTTGTGGTGGAGATCTGTATAACACGGCCGGCATATTGACCAATCCGTATTATCCGAATAATGTTCGCAATAATTCCGATTGTCGTTGGAACATTCGGGTGCCGAGCAATATGAAGTTGATGCTACGCTTTGTTGCCTTCAACCTGGGAGCGAAGAGTACCTGCCACACGGACTATTTGCAGTTCATTGAATATGAGAATTTTGTTGGCGGTCAGCCAAGTGGAGAGGGAAAGGTGGTGCGACAATTTTGTGGGGAGGTAAGTTTGGGGTGGGGGCGGGTTTTTGTAATCGGAGAATATTTTGATGTGTTGTTTTTTTTTTTATTTTCATAGGATGAACCGACATTCTATCGCAGTCCGAGCAATTTTGTCACGGTGCGTTTCCATAAAACGGTGAATTATGATGGCACCGGGTGGGTTATTCAGTTTTCGGCAGTCCATCCGGAAAGTGAAATTATTGCTTAGCTATGTAAGGTAAAAATCAAGAGGATTCTCCGAAAAAATGTTATTGAAATCAGAATAAAATATGTATTAAAAATTGTATAAGATATTCTATTTTTATTGGCTGGACCTTGGTACGTATGGGTGTTGACGTAATGTATACGACACCCTATGCACATTTATATTCCCCACACGTTTATTTAGGGGAAACGTCAAGACAGAGAGACACATTTATATTCCCCACACGTTTATTTAGGGGAAACGTGAAGACAAAGAGAGAGATAGAGAGAGAGAGAGAGGGAGAGAAATTTCTCATTGGGAAAACTTATTTTTTAGGAGTAGATCTATAAATACACTTCTAGGATTCTCTGGTATTAAAAAGGTACGGACTCTCGCTCTCTCTCTCTCTCTCTCTCTCTCTCTCTCTCTCTCTCTGAAAAATGCTGTTCTATGGGACTTTCCTTAGAAAAAAATGTTTTTATAAACCCTTCTAAAAAATCGATCCGTAAAGTCAATTAATTTAATTTTTTTTGGCCTTGTTCCTAAAAAGACACTTCTAGGTTCTTCTTATATATAGGAAAGGTACTTGGAGGTACTCTCCTATACAAAAATTTTTTAATGATAACCCCTTCCAAAAAAAAAAAAAAAAAAAAAAAAATTCTTAGAACCCTTATAAAAACGTCCATTTAGAAAATGGAATAAGTATTTATTCCAAAAGTACTCCAGAAAATACGTTTTATTCTGGAGCCTCCGTAGCGTATAAGTGTGGACGTAATGTATACGACACCACATACACTTAAATTTACCGCAGGGTTGTTTGTACAGAAATCTCTAGTCACAGAGAGAAATTGCTCTCCAGAGAAAATATGATTATATGTGGCATAATTGAGCTTCTAAGAGCCCTTGTAAGGATAGGGCCTAAGTATCATTTTCTAGTAGCCTTGTGGATATGAAAGGATAGATACGAAATCCATTTCTCTGAATAAATTGGTTAGATTTGTGAGTGGAAATTTAAGATGGGATTTCTCATAAGTTTTTTTATACCCTCCACCATACTATGGAGGGTATATTAATTTTGTCATTCCGTTTGTAACTCCTCGAAATACTCATGTCAGACCCAACAAAGTATATATATTCTTGATCAGCGTAAAATTCTAAGACGATTTAGCCATGTCCGTCTGTCTGTCTGTCTGTCCGTCTGTCTGTCTGTTGTAATCACGCTATCTTTCGAACAAATTGAGATAGAAGGCTAAAATTTTGCACACATGTATATTTTGCCAGTAGGCAGGTTAAGTTCGTAAATGGGCCATGTAGGTCCAAGTTATCATATAGCCCCCATATAACGGTACCTCCCGATATTCGGTATTTTGATGATTTTAGCGACATTATTCACCGGAATTATTTCAAATTTGGTATTTGAAGTTCGTAATGGATACTACATCCAAAGTCAAAAAATGTGCCATGTAGGTCAACGTCTTCATATAGCCCCCATATAACGGTATCCCCCCGATATTCGGTATTTTAATGATTTTAGCGACATTATTTACAGGGATTGTTTCAAATTTCGCATGTGAAGTTTGTAATGGATACTTCAGCCCATGCCAGAATATTGTCTGTGCAGTTCCACGTCTTCGTATAGCCCCCATATAACGGTACCCCCCATATTCGATATTTTGATGATTTTAGCTACATTATAAACAGATTTCTCTTCAAGTTTCGCATTTAAATATTGTAATAATTTATGACAAAAGTTGCCTATGCAGGCCCACGTCGTCGTATAAGCATATGGTATTTTTATGATTTTAACAGAATTTTTAACGGGTTTTATATTTTGGAAATTGCCAAATTTGTACCAAATGGTGGAGGGTATTAAAAGTTCGGCCCGCCCGAACTTACAGCTTTTTTACTTGTTTTTTTTAATAGAAGAAACTATGCAGGCGTATGAGTGCCGACACAATGTATACGCCACCCTGTATACATAAATTCTTTTTATACCCTCCACCATACTATGGAGGGTATATTAATTTTGTCATTCCGTTTGTAACTCCTCGAAATATTCATGTCAGACCCAACAAAGTATATATATTCTTGATCAGCGTAAAATTCTAAGACGATTTAGCCATGTCCGTCTGTCTGTCTGTGTGTCTGTCTGTCTGTCTGTCTGTCTGTTGTAATCACGCTATCTTTCGACCAAATTGAGATAGAAGGCTAAAATTTTGCACACATGTATTTTTTCCCAGTAGGCAGGTTAAGTTCGTAAATGGGCCATGTAGGTCCAAGTTATCATATAGCCCCCATATAACGGTACCTCCCGATATTCGGTATTTTGATGATTTTAGCGACATTATTGACCGGAATTATTTCAAATTTGGCATTTGAAATTTGCAATGGATGCTACAGCCGAAGACAGAAAATTATCTGTGCAGGTCCACGTCTTCCTGTAGCCCCCATATAACGGTACACCCCGATATTCGGTTTTTTGATGATTTTAGCGACATTGTTTACCGGAATCGTTTCAAATTTGGTATTTGAAGTTCGTAATGGATACTACATCCTAAATCAAAAAATGAGCCATGTAGGTCCACGTCTTCATATAGCCCCCATATAACGGTACCCCCCGATATTCGGTATTTTGATGATTTTAGCGACATTGTTTACCGGAATTGTTTCAAATTTGGTATTTGAAGTTCGTAATGGATACTTCATCTAAAGTCAAAGAATGATCCATGTAGGTCCACGTCTTCATATAGCCCCCATATAACGGTGCCCCCCGATATTCGGTATTTTAATGATTTTAGCTACGTTATTTACAGGGATTGTTTCAAATTTCGTATGTGAAGTTCGTAATTGATACTTCAGCCCATGCCAGAAAATTGTCTGTGCAGATCCACGTTTTATAACCCCCATGATACCTCCCTATTTGGTATTTTGATGATTTCAGCTTCATTATAAATAATTATTTTTTTAAGTTTCGCATTTGAATATTGTAAAAGCTTATGCCAAAAGTTACCTATGTAGGTCCACGTCGTCGTATAGACCCTAATGTACGGCTATATTTGGTATTTTAAAGATTTTAACAGAATTTTTAACGGATTTTATTTTTTTGAAAATTGCCAAATTTCTGCCAAATGTTGGAGGGTATTCAAAGTTCGGTCCGGCCGAACTTACAGCTTGTTTACTTGTTATAAAATTGTTTTGGAAAAACGAAAAAAAATGTATCCAGAAATATAATAAACCAGGTTTTAATTATTGGGTCCTTGGGGCGTATGAATGTCGACGCAATGTATACGCCACCCTTCCATCCTTTATAAAGTGCTTTAGTTCTTAGAACCCTTTCCGAAAAAATGAAGGAGTATTAAAGATGATACTTTTAAGACATTTTATTGGCCATCTTTCGTCAGTTTTTTTTCAAAAGGACGACTCAAGGGCCTTTTAGAAAGTGTGCTTTGGGAACATACTCTGAAAGAAGAACTTAAAAATAAACCTTTTTAGAGGGAGTATACTTCGAAGTAACCCCTTTTTGAGGGAAGAATATTCTAGATATTTGTTCTACCTACTAGGACCTCTTCTTTCATTTAGAAATGGTGCTTCCAAGGAGCTTTACTAAAAGTGAGTGATCCTAAAATCCTTGAAAGGGTGTTTCTCTGTTCACTTTCTTCATAATGTCATTTTCAAAAAAGGATGCTTCGAAGGACCTCTTCTTAAAGGGATGGTACTTTTAGAGATCCTTTCTTAAAGGTTTGGTTTTTCAATGGATCCTTTTGAAGAAAATGTAGTTTTCAAGGATTCATGCAGAAGAGAGGACTCCTTCTATGAAAAAGGACTATTTCAAAAACACTTTTTTAGTATTTTTTAAAGGTCTTTTCAAAATAAGGCATGTTTTGAAAAACACTTTTTTAAAGAAGATTGTCGAGGTCAGGTTCACATATTAGGGATAAGGGCAAATTTTACAGGAAAGGCTTCTAAAGGCCTTTAATATGAATTGTATTTAAAAGGACCCTTTATTCAAGGATGGCGGTTTCATATGACCTGTTTACTAGGAAATTTGAGCTTTTGGACTCTTCTAAAGGTTTTTTTTTATAAGGGAAGGATATGTAGTACAGAAAGGATATTGGTTAGCTCCCTTTCTTGAAGGAAATATGATTCTAAGGCTCTTCCTTAATGAAATGCCGCTTTTTTTCAGGGTGGTCACTCAGGATATTTCCAAAGAGTTTTAAGGTCCTTGTTTTATGGCTTCGATGGGTTCTTTTTTGGAAAGATATTTTCTGTTAGAATGGCTTATTGAAAGGATCTTTTTAAAAAGGACATTTCTATGGACAGTTGAATATACGTGAATTTTTTAAAGAACATTTTTTCAAGGACCGATCCGTTGAAGGAACCTGTATTTTTCAAAGAATATTTTTTCAACGACCGTCAGTTGAAGAAACGTGGATTTTTTAAAGAATATTTTTTCAACGACCAACAGTTGAATAAACGTTGATTTTTTAAAAAAATATTTTTTCAAGGACTAGCAGTTTGAATGGTATTTTTTTAGATATATACTTTCATTTCGAAGGACCTTTTGTCAGGAACTTTAATGATTGAGTGTTTTAAAGACGTTTTTACTGTCCTTAGAACTTTTTCTGATAGATAAGGCGATTCTAAAGAAATAAGTTTGTCTTAAAAAGTGATATCTCATCTTAAAAAGAGGGTTCCGAGTTCATTGAAAAATTATCCTCAAAGTCATCATTTAATGGAATTTATATCCTAAATTATTTTTTTAAATTCCGCGTTGTGAAATAGTTGTTTAGAATTTTGTTTTAAAAGCCCCGCAGTGCTTAAAAATATTCTTTTTAAATTCTATGGATATAATCGCCTATATCCTTGCAAAAATATATTTTCAAAATTTACTTTTAGGTCTTTTAAAATATTACTCATTTAAGCTATTTTCGGTCCTTGAAAAAAATTCTTTGAAAGATCTTTCAAAGTCCTTAGACGTGGAGGGTCCATGAAGATCTGGAAGGAAACACGTTAAATGATCTTGAGGTGCTTGAAAAATCTTCTTTAAGAAATCCAGGTTTAAAGGATTCGATGTCCTTAAAAAATATTCGTATTTAT